GGAAAAGTGGGGGTCGTCTTGTACATGGGGGCGTCTTATTGATGGAAAAATACGGTACTATTAAAAGGTTATAATTTGCCTAAAAGTTTGTGTGTTAATCTGAAGTTGGATTTTCATAGTTGATATTGTGCCTTCTCCAGCTAACATTATCTTTTCTCAGCCTGTATTAGATGCCAAGTAGATAGGTGTTTGGTTCATGTAGTTGTCAAGTAGATACAGGTTCAGTTCATGAGAAACAATTACCTCTCAACTTCCTGCTCTTCATGCTCATATAAAATATATAGAAATACTACCCAAAAATATTAGCAATCATATATTTGTGGTAGGATAGGAATGAGCTGCTGTGTGTTTTTCTCTCTCTCTCTTTTTTAAATGTGTTCAGGAGAAGAGTACAGAGCCTCCAAAGCATTTTTAAAAACTAAAACTTAAAAATTGATCAGCATTTTTTTTCCCTTCTACATTAAAAAAGTTTGATTATTGCTATGGGCTTATGTAGCACAAAGCCATGAAGAGAAAATAAAATACTGTTTAAAAATAATAAAAAAGGGACTGTAGCACAGATTTGCAACACTTACTTGTAGTGACATTTCAAATAATATTTAAGAGATAGCCATGGCTCTTGTGCTATTATACCCCATATAATACAATTTTTTGTTTGTTTGTAAGATACTATATATCTATATATGAGAGAGGCCATGGTGACTATGCACAAAAATAGGAGCATAATTATATATTAATATTAAAAGCTTTGGAAGAATAGTGATGATGGCAAGGCATGTAACAGCTGTTCACTTGGAGTCTGTCATGAATAAAACATATTTTCAAGGTTTGTCAGTCTTCTTGTTTCTGGACTGTATTTTAGAAAACAGAGTAAGTTGAGAAGGAGAAGTGCAAGAAGGCTAAAATATGAACTTAAATAGAAAATTTTAAAACACTTTGGTGCAGTCTAAATATAATTTTATATAGATTAATAAAAATCCATTTAATAGTTTGTTATCTGCAAAGGTTGCTAACCAAAATGGTCCTTATTACATTCATATTTAATATAGTTATATATCAACACACACCAATTTATTCAAGCAGTTAATATGTTGAAAGAATAACAGACTGGAGTTTCCATTTAAATACGTGTTCAGGTTGCTCATTCATGCACACAAGTGACTAAGAAGACAGAAACAAGAGAATAGTGATTGTTTTAAAAAATGACATTCAAATTTGATTAGTGTGGAGCAGAAATATTTTAATGGCCTTGAGGCACCTAGAACAAGTTATTTCTAGTTATGAAATGAAAGAATGTGACCATAACAACAGTTTTACACTAGGCTTAAGAACAAAATTTTCTTAAAATTAACATTTTTTTTTTATTTCAAGCAAAAGTAATCTCTAAAATGTTATTTTTTGCTTCCTTTAGAATATCCTTTACCGTCAAATGTAGAAGACTGAAAATAGTATGAAGAAAGGATTAAAGGAAAGTTGTATATATTAAAATAACAAATGCATGTGCTCATATAAGTTACAATGGAAGAGATTCCAGTTAAAGTGGCAGTAAGAATAAGACCTTTACTCTCAAAAGAAATACTTCACAATCATCAAGTATGTGTGAGATTAATCTCAAATACTCAGCAAATTATTATTGGAAAGGACCGTGTCTTCACTTTTGATTTTGTTTTTGGCAAGCATTCAACCCAAGATGAAGTGTATACAACATGTATTAAGCCATTGGTGGCATCTCTGATAGAAGGATATAATGCTACAGTTTTTGCCTATGGACAGACAGGCTCTGGAAAGACTTATACTATTGGAGGAGGTCACATTGGTATGTTCTGAAAAGTTTCTGTTATTATTTAAATATATGCTAGAATTATTGCAAAAGTAATAATCAGAACAATCTTTTCACAAACTGAATGTTTACTGATAAGATAATTGCTGTCCCTGACTCTTATTTTTAGAACAGGGTGGGACTAAAGTTTGGGTTATTTTCATTTAAAATAGCTTAATATGCAACATGAAAATTACAACAGTCTGCCTAACATTTCCATACTACTATCGCTTTGAAGTATTTTAACTTGAAGGAACAAAAAATAATAAAAGTATTATAGGTAATATGACATATTATTTTGATTCTAGTTTTCTGTCACACTGTTTTGTAAATGCTATCAGAATACTAGTTACACTATGTATTTTGAGAGTAATCCTTTATTTTTCTAAAAAGCATTTCTGTCAAATGCCATTTTCTTGCCAAGATACTCATTTTGGAGTATTGATTACATTAAAAAAATTTCTCCAATGCTGTCCACTCTTGGAGATTCCATACAAACTTGTGAGAACATATTTTTCACTTATGTTTCTCTTCTCTTTCTCTCTTCTCTGTTCCCACAAGGAGGGTCCCCCCATCCTTGGAGCAAATTTAGGCTAGATGTTAACCCCAATAGGTACACCAGACCAGGAAAATCAACTCCAGAGAAAGGCTAAAACTATTTTTATTGAGATTGGTTATAATAAAAGAACCTTGCAAGTCTGACTATGCTGTACCTCCTCCTCCTTATAGTTCAGTGAATTAGAGATGTATCTGCTTGAGCTGCTTCTGAATGTTATCTTGTTGTTCTGGACTTTAAAAATGCTTCAGCCCCTTTTGCAGTTCCTGCATATCTTTGTCAAGGTCATCTTCCTTACTCTCTAGTGTTGGAAGCTTCAAGTGACAGGAAAAAGGCTTCAAGTGACAGTAACAGTGCCTATTCTGCAGGCAGGTATAATTGTATATAGTCAGTGGAAGGTAATATGAATTTCAGTAAGAGATGCCTATATTCTCCTTTATATACTCATCATGTGCTGATGTCACAGGATGTATATCAAAAACCGAAACACAAGCCATACTGGTGAGTACGGAGGGTCAAAAGGAGGTATTATTAGTGTCTCAAGTTATCTTAAACTCTGCCGTAGCGTTTTCCCCCTATTTCTTGCTACATTTGTAGTGCCAGATATGAATGTGGACACCAACAAGGTGATAAATTGTCATAATTTATATACAGTGGTACCTTGGTTCATGAACTTAATTCATTCCGTGACTCTGGTCGCACACTGAATTGTTCGTGAATTGAATCAAATTTTCCCATAAGGTTCAATGTAAATACGGTTAATCCGTTCTGACCCCTCCGAATTTGGTCACGACCCGATTTTTGATCGCGTCCCGAATCTAATTTCCCCATAAGGTTCAATGTAAATACGGTTAATCCGTTCTGACCCCTCCGAATTTGGTCACGACCCGATTTTTGATCGCGTCCCGAATCTAATTTCCCCATAAGGTTCAATGTAAATACGGTTAATCCGTTCTGACCCCTCCGAATTTGGTCACGACCCGATTTTTGATCGCGTCCCGAATCTAATTTCCCCATAAGGTTCAATGTAATTACGGTTAATCCGTTCTGAACCATATATATTTTTTTTAAACCGCAAAAATATGACACAAAGTACAGCACGAAGAGAGAGAAAGCTAACCTTGCTCGACGCGACTTCTGGCGTGGAGGACAGGAAGACGGGTGGGGAGGCGGATATTGCTTGGAGGGAGAGTTCCCCTCCCTACAGGAAGCTGCGACCATGTGTCACGGGAGGGAAAATGGCCGCCGATTCTGTTCGTAACCTGATCCGGCATTCGCGAATGGAGGCAAAATTTTGCGAACGGACCTGTTTGTGAACCGAATTGTTTGTGAACAGAAGCGTTCGTGAACCAAGGTACCACTGTATTTTATTGAAGAAATGTCAAAGATAACATGTCAAATTAAATACTGCTAATCTGAACCATGATTTAGCATAGCCCCATTTCCAAATGCATAACTGCATGTGGCTTTTTAGTGTAAAATTT